AAATGTATCTCCTACGATACTATGATTTCTGTAGCTATATAAAACTATTATTATTGTTACTATTATTATTATTATTAAGATATGTTCTGTTCCACTAATGTATCTTCTGCGATACTATGATCTCTGTAGCTATATAAAACTTTTAATTCAATATTAGTCGAAAAGTTTGTGACTGTTCATCTTTCTGATAAAAAATTTGAAATCACTGATCTGTCACTAAATCTAAAGTTTTTAGCCAAGAGAATGCGGTTATTACAGATACTTACCTGCAAGCATACTATACATTTTCATATATAAACAATAACAATAAGAGGCTGAGGAAACCATTTCATTCTTTTGTTTGTCAACTTCAAAATTTAAGTAACCTTTGCATATGAAACAGAAATTGCCGCAACTTAGAGTGATCATTATCACAATAGACAAAAGAGACAAGTCAGTCCCGCACTTATGGGTCAGTTTCTGTGCCCAGAAACTGTTGGTACACACAATTTACATAAACGGCAGAGTGTAAAATATCTTGAAGTTCATGTCGCTTAGCAGGCCAATGTTTGGGCTTCCAACATTCAAGTAGCGCTCGCGATGTAATGCATTGTAGGCAATTTGTTACTGGTACAGTTGGCCGCTGGCCGTTGCTGGTGAGGTGGCTTGTTGGCCATTGCACGATCGCTGGGACGGTCGTTGGGACGGTCTGTCAGTTGCGGTTCGGTCGGTATTCGCTGTAACTTGTTGTGTGTACACATAAGTGCGCTACTTGAGCGCTACTTTTTAAATTGATTTGTTTTGTTTATCTTTTGTGTGTGTGCTGTCAAATTGTGTGCGTATGACGAGTCTCAAATTGTGTTTTCTGTTTGATTTAACAACGGCGTGAAGGTGGATACTCCATTGAGATCTTTTGTAGCCATTTAATGTATAATGTATAGTGTATAACGTATAATGTGTAATGTGTAATGTGTTGCTATTGCTATATTGGCTGTAGTCAATGGCATTTTTAAAACTTGAATCTTCTTCAATCTTGTCATTTGATGTTGCTGCTGCTACTGCTACTGCTACAGCTATCGCTTCTGCTGTTGCGGTAAATGTTGTTGTTTTCTTTTTCATATTGATTTCATATACCAAAAAAACTTGTACATCCGCACTGGAAAGAGAATACCAATAAAAATATTAATTTTAAAAAAAATATCTTTGTAAAAACAATAACAAAGACGAAAATATTAAAACAACATTTAACGGCAATGGGACCACCCTAGAGCCAATGATGTGCCTCTTGAGGCATTTAGTGCTGGCACACGTATAAGAAAGTTGTTAATTTTAAGGCAACAATTCATTAGGAAATCTCTTGATTAGTCGATATTTCTGTCTTTTTACATATGGCACCAGCACCAGTCTGCCTCTGTGATGCTGCCGCTGTTATCCTTTTATTCCTTTTATACTCGTAATTGTGGTTTATTTTTCTAATAGCAAGCAAATCTGCTAAATGACGTGGTAAACGGTACAAGAAAAACATTACACAATCCAATTTGTGGGGTTGAAAGCAGTTGAAGCCTTTTTATGCGGTTAATGGGATAAAATTGCTAAGGCTCAGTATTGCAAATTGCAGTTGCTGGTTGCTGGTTGCTGATTGCTGATTGCTGGCAGTTGTTGGCGGTTGTGGCGATATTGCGATGTCATTAATTGCTCAGGCAAAGTACAAATGCTCAGTGTGGCTAGGATTGTACCTTAAGGCGTTGTAATGCACATCTTTTTGAGTTCGGGTCTTATTAAGGCCTTATTTGCTAATACCACAAAATCATTAACAGCATTAACATTAAATTAAGTAGGTAAAGCAAACATGTTTCGACAAAAAGAAAGTTTTATAATACCAAACCGTTTTTCAAAATACAAGATTTGATAGCCGAACTGTCGTATTTTGCGTTGAAAGTATTTGTATTTTAATATTGTAATATCAGAAAACATTTTATAAAATTTATTTCATTTTTATATCGGCAGAGAATGCCAAAGTAAAATCTACAACATATCGTTCTCTTTGTCTTCGAATTGTATTTCGAGAACAGTTTTATTGTACTTTCATTTGTATAATTTAATTTGGTATTGTGCTCGATACACATTTCTGACATTCTTATTGTTCTTCTACAAGGATTCTTTGGCTTCCTTCGGTTGTATACATTTCTGGATATTTTGTGAGCTATTGTAGGTCATCTCTGGTTGGTTAGTGGTGGTGTCAGCTGTTGGTTTGACTGGTAATCTTGTATTGCTCTCGCTATAGCGTCTTTATGAGAAACTAATTCACATTTACGCCCGAACAATAGCCTTGCCAATAACTTATTGTTTGCTAAACAATAAAATAGTATTGCATCCCCCACAAGCTCACCGACGTTTTTATTGTTATATTCTCATACAATTATGTGTTTACGACTATTGCAAACACCCACCAATGGGTGAAATTTAATATTGAATACTCTAAACTCCGTCTTTAAATCTTTTAATTCATATTTGATTAATTCGTTATCCTGCCATGCCACCATTGACTTCGTAATGTAATGCCATCATTGTCATTTTGTCATATCAGACGAGGGCAACTTATTACTTATTGTTTATTGCATATCGATATCAAGAAATGTTAATATTATTAAATTATTGTTATGCTGGTCACTTAATTTGTTGTGACACAAATGGACGAGGGCAGATTGTTGCTGTACCACATTTAGTTTTCGGATTCAGAGAAGTGAAAAGGTTGTTCACACTTAAAACTTTTGCTTTATTTGCTTGCGATGTGAAAGGATATTTAACACTACATATCGACTGCTATTGTCTTCAGATTTTAATCGAGATAAGGATAATTATTGTATGCTTATTATTGTATTATGCGACAATAATTAATATTTTCTATTCTTTTCTTTTCTAATAAAAGAATAAAAAGACACAAATGTGATTGGTTGTACCAACTATCGTTCCATATTCGACAAAGTTCCAAAAGAGCACTCATCGTACGGTTGTGTTTTAAACATACAGCATCTCATTTCTTCCATTTAATAAAAATCAAAACTTAATTAACGATTTTATTAAATTACAGTCAATGAGGTACCAAAACGAGATCGTAGAGAGTTTATAAGTAAAAACAAATTTTTAAATAACTTTAAGGTGTCTATGAGAATCAGACATAATTTTTATGTCCAGATTGCATTCAGATCAACTTTCTTCGCATATCGTATCAGATCCATATATGCTGATAACACAGATTTAGGGTGTATATGACGTTAATGCCGTTTGTTACCACTTTACTCATTCAAGATATATTGTAGAAAATATACTGTACTTACAATTAATTAGAACAAAAAATATTTTTGCAAATTTATATATAATTATACGAGCACAAATCTAGAATGAAGTAAAATATTGTGTGAATCACATCACATTTTATTAATACATTCTTTGGCATCCCCTAAGATGAACATCGGTGACTTCTCGATATAAGTTTTAGTAGTAGTGCAGTATTACTTCTTATATGCCAAATATTTTCTTTGACGCTCTAAAAGGAAAGGAAATGCAAAATTCTCATTGATATAACCCATAGAGATATCAGTCTTTTAGGTAGGTTTACTTACAGGTCACTGTCAACTATGGAAGCATGCTAGAAGATTGGGTCTCTCTTTCAATTAAATCTGTCGCAGCTGTGGGGATGACGATGAGAGTGTCTCTCATCTACTATGTTTTTGCCAAGCTCTTGCACGGTGGCTACTCAATACTTTAGGGGTCCTCTTTCTTGAGGATCTTGACCAATTACAAGACCTGTCACTAAATAGCATTTTAAGCTTCGCCAAAGCTTCTAGGTGGTTTTAAATCCCGAGTTTTTCCTATATATACGGTAACAAAATGGGCCGATAGGCCTAAGTGGATCCACTAGGGATCGCCGGTATAACCTAACCTAACCTAGACGAAACATTTAAACATAATGTAAGTTACGCAAATCAATCTTTTTCTCAAACTTTTCAATTTTGGAACCAATCAAGACCCCAATTGTTATCCAGCTAAATTAGTCATTAAGATGAATGTGGCATCGGTTGATACCTGCACAGGCTGTAAATGCTTGAGTGATTCAATATCAGTTACTTCGGTATCGTTTCGAAACAAATTATTTTTATAACAAACAAACTAGTCTAGAGTATTGTTGGTAATATCACCGTTGAATTTCAGCTGATAATTGTAAAATATGAATAGAGTCTCATAGTGTAACAAATCGCTATAACGTTAGCAAATGATTTAAGTTCTGCATATAAGTGCTAACCGAGTAGAAGACATGATATCTGGAGTAAAAGCACCACGGTGTTCTTTTCCTTTTGTTAAATTAGTAAATTACCAACATATATAGTTGAAGGGAGTTAATAAGTATTACAGATTAATATCGGTTTCTTTTGTACTTCGGATAACCGATTCTTCTATCGAGAAATTTTGACAATTAGCAGTCAAACTAGTAGTCTTCTTTTAAAACCATATGCTCTCTCATTTCATTTTCACTGTAGCTCGGATAGTCCTTTGGTTTGGAGAACCTTCAACTATACGTTTTCATCGGCAATAGAAGAAATTCTGACAAGAATTGTGAACGGCACTGACAAGTATTTCAACAACATAGCCCCGATCGCTTTTAGATGCCCTTTTCGCAAGAATGGTTATGAGAGTACGAGTCCAGAAATCTAAAATTAATTGATTTATTTAGATTTTTTTACAGAACTTTGAAATCCATTAATTTTTTTTTAAAGAATTCGTATAATATGCATTTATTTAACACAGTACTTCGTAGTTTTACAATTCATAAATTTAAAATTTCATTATAATTCTTCTATACATAAAATACACAATATAATTTAAATATTTTACACTGGTAAACGATAAATTCGTGTGCAATGCGTTTTCAATAAAATCCATTTTACACTTAAAGAAATATTGAGTATACATAAAATTAAGTACATAACTAAATGAAAAATATAGCTTTGTATCGACTAAAAGACGTATTCCCTAAACGTTGTAAATTTCCTTAATATTTTGTTTTTGAGATAACTAAATTTAAAAACAAAATCCTTAATAAGTATTTTTTATTTACAATTTTGGTAACATAATGGCCAGAACAAAGAGTATTGGACTTACATATCTAAAATCACTCAAACTGCAGATAACTTATTCGAAGGGTCTAAACATGCCGTTAAAATCGGCTGAACCGTTGTTTCAATCCTGTGAGTCGCCGGCATTACTGTTTCGATCAAGTGAAGTACCGCCATTCGATTCGGATTGTTCTAGATCAGGTGCCAAAACTCCGGGCAAATAGGTGGCGCCACTGTAGGGAGCGGCAAGAAACCGTTTTGCGTGAGCTTGCATAAAAGGCGGGTAGCGATGTGTAGGAGAACCAAATACTGCAGGTGGTACAAGCGGCGAAAAAGCAGATTTCAATGGAAATGGCGGAGACGGTGGTACAGTCGGTGGTGATACTGTTACACCAGCAGTTACATTCGTTATGAGATTTTGTGATATATCCTCGCCTGAAAGCATTGCTTCCATGGCTTGTATAACGTCACCCCGATAGCGTTGCAGTAGTTGTTCTACATCGTTGCGTCTACGATTTGGAAAGACACGCATCAATACGTCAACTGGAGATCTTTGTTGTTGCTGTTGTGGCAGTGCATGATGTTGCATCGGTGGTTGGTGTTGATGTGGTGAGTGTTGGTTGTGAGATTGCGAGGGCATTGCAGCATTTAAAAATTGCGTATGATGATATGGTATGAAGCCTTGTGCATTGCCATTGTTGAATGTACGCAATAGACTTAAACTATCTGATGGTGTATTAGGTGGTGATATGGAGTCTTCTTTCTTTAAGCTCAAGTTTTCTGGTGTGGCTTCATCTGGTGCAGAATCAACATCAAGATCCGATTCTGGAGAGCTTGGTGGACCAGTTCTTGCTGGTGACAAATTCCCAGACATGTTATAACTTTTGCATTTAGTGCGTGGACTGCTAGGACTAGATTCAGAGCCTGTGTCTTGATCCGTTTCGTTTGATAACCGTGCGCGTTTGGAACCTATAAAAAATTAAAACAAAAAATTTATTAAATGAAATAATGTTTTCAATTAAATATAATAAGATATGCTCTATTATAACTGCAAGAAGGTATGAGATAAAATGCAGTGGTAATAAATGAGGTTTTTAATGTGCGTTATAAAGTAACAGATTCCTTACATTTTGAGGTATTAGAGGTATTTATTATTTTTGTTTATCATCTCATCACTGCAAAAGGTTATTGCTATTCATGGCATAACGAAGCAACTTATGCCAGAAGTTGGCGGAATATTTAATTAAATTAACCGACGAGGTGCTTCAGATCAAAAGATTCATACAATTATTCATTCATTTTTTTTATTAATATTGTTTTTATTTTCTCATTTTTCTCAAAAAAAAAAGATAAATGTATAAGAAATTTGCTAAAGTATCGAGTTTATAAGCACACAATTTCTACAGATTTATTTACACTGAAAATAAATGTGAGTCTTCTCCGCAGAGCCCACATTTAGTAGTCGCGGGAATTGTAAATATTTAATCATTGTGGGCTTGTAACATTTAAAAGTATCCAAGATACATGCTACCTGCTTGGCTAAGTACACAATAAATGCCAGTATTGAAAAAAGGAAAAGATTTTTATTAAATTTAAAAAACCGTCATTCGAAAAAAGTCATTCGATACCTTTTTAATTTTTTATTTGCTGAAGCACTTTTATTTGAAATTTAATTAAGTCCGAGATTTTTGTCGGTGAGGTACGAATAGCATAGCTTCGCGCAGAAACAAGCCTTGGAATGTGTGTATTTGCTGTCTTATAGAAATGCATGCGAGTCCTTGAGAAGGAAATACATTTGGTGCCTTTTTATTGATATTGTGTTGAATTTCATGTCAGTGTAACGATACAAACTATTTGATATCCTCTCATGTGCTCGGTGTGTCGATACCTCGGTGGAAGAGTGTTGTGCGATTTTCATTTTATTAAAATATCAAATTCGATTTGGAAGATGCTTTAAGATGCCGAGAAAACATATAACGTTTGGCTCATCGCATGAGATAGATGACAGTGATACTGAAGTAAGGACTAAAAGTCGAGTGTCAACAGTTTTGATTTGATTTGCTTGAGAAGGGCGTAGCACCCTCATAACTGACTCATATTTCACTGCAGAAACTGTAGAGCTGCGAAGTTGGATACTGGCAGTTTAATATTTTGAAATTTTTTAAATTCTCTAAAAATATTTTCATTTCAGTGGTTGAGGTTGAGTTAATATGGTAACAATTAATAATTCCACATTAAATAAAAAAATTGAATTTTTCCAAGGAGGTACCGCGTCGGCAGTTGCATGGCTGGCTGCCGCCTTTGCACTTTGCACTTTTAACTTTTTAACAATTTCCGTTTTCAATTAGAAATACCGTTGAGCGATGGGCGGTCGGCGCTGGGCGCCGGGATTTCATACAAAGAACATTTCATGGATTCTTGAGCAATAAATTCGCGTTTCTCGCATTTTGCACGTCCTTAAACTGCTACACATGTGTACACTTGTCGGTACCAACACGCTTAATACAGCTTTACGTGTCGTTGCACCTTTGACACTTTCTTTGGACTTTGAATTTACACTTAAATATACTTTTTCATACTTTAAGTAACACAAACTCAAGATGTGAACTCAAAGAGCTGCGTTGAAGAATGGAACTAACGCAGCAAAGCATAAATTTGAACTTAATAATTTTTACATACGAATCACTGCGGCCCATTTTTAAACCCTCTACCCCCGTTAACCAACAGTCTATCCGTTTTCGTTAATTATTTGTAACAAATTGCAGCATTGCGGCTACTACTTACCAGGACTGTCGACTTCTGTACGATTGGGCGAGTAATTCATTGAAATTCGCATATCGGTATCCGATTCATTGCCATTGAAAGAAATGCGATGGTTGCTGGTGTCCAGACCGTCACTTGGAGGTGATGGTATGCCCGCATGAAATACGCCATTTGGTTGTTGGGCAACTGGACTTTGTTGCTGAGATGATGTACCATTTTCTGTGCTGTTTTGTTGTGCTGATCCAGGCACACTGGTATACAATAGGCCGAGTTCTCTTGCTTCATTCTCTTCCTGTGCCTGTTGGCGGCGTAAAGCAACCTGCAAGGAACAAAAAATAATTTCAATGTGATTAGTTCTCTCTAATAACACTTAAATACGATATTTGTTTAAACTTTTATTAACAATATAATTCGCTTATAACGATTTTTTTTCATTAATTACAATAATAATGTTTTCATAATTATATTTTAATTATTTTTAATATTTTTTAAAAGAATGAAGTAGAGAATATTAAATAAAAATGCTAGTTAAAAGTAAAGTAGTGATATTTTGGGCACCGAGCACAAGAAAAAAATTATATGAATAATTAATATACTTTATATTTAAGTCCGAGATTAATACCCTATTAATATATGTAAAATAAAATTAATTAAATTATAAGAAATTCGTATTAAAAAATAATCTATATACCATATACCAGTCTGTACACATATTTAAACTTTATAAGACAGGAACAGCTTGTGGTTCTTGAAGAGATTTGAAATGTTTATACCAACTTTTCTATCTATAAATCCGTTTATTCGTTTATATATACTGAGATTTACAGAAGAGTTTCTGCATAAAGAATTCGTGGGTAAAGCTTTTCAGTATTTGTTCAAATACTCTAATCCAATTAGAGTGAAACCTAAGAGATGAGTTTTCTAAGTTACTAATTAAGAAATGGTTACACTTAAAATCATTTTGCGACGGATTTAAATGAATGACTTCGAAATATGTTCTAACTTCGGAAAAATTTCTATATGCCCATATTATTGGAATATATGCACATAATGATATACCTACATATAAGGAAGGAAGTCCTAAAACTTGTAGGAATGAGTTTATGTTAGGTTGGAGTGTGATTGCTCGTAAAAAAACTGTTTTATTACTCAACTTTGAAGGTACATCAAAGAAACTGCTATACTTGTAATTTATACTGACAACTTCATTTGAAGTGGACGATAAAGGACTGATTGCCGTATGAAAAGTCCACATATCCGCATTCTCAGAATGCATTTTATTTATTTATATTTTTTTCGCCAAAAACCAGTTTTTATTTCTGTTTATTTAAAGTCAACTCTAACTTATTTATTTATATTAAAATACTTATTAAAATTTTTAGATGATATTTAGATGATACATCCCTTTATTCGAAATTTAATATTAAAGTACTTGCTATGATGATACTCTTTTTCTAGCCTTCTAAGATAGAATAATAAAATAATTACAATTAAATGACTCTCATCATCTTCATTATCATCATTTGGCACTACACAGGTCACATTAAGCTTGTCATCTTGGAATCTACTTCCATTTGAGTTTTGCATACGTAGCACCTCTTCAGTATATAATGTCCATTTTCTCTAATTGTATTTCGGCGTTTTCACACTATACTACTCATTGTTGTCCTTTTTTGTGTTATATCATAATATATAATTAGTTTTAATTTTTGATTTTATTCTTGAGAGTAAGCTCTTGTTTTATGGTAAGTGCATGCACGATCCAGTTCATGTAAATTGAACTACATTTTCACCGACGGTCATATTTCCAATATACTCTTTAATTTTTTGTGTTTATGTGCCAATCCATTTATATGATGTGTTAAATTAAATACCCGTTGACACTTATATTATATATAACGTCTTGAGAATTATGATTAGTTTTATATATGATTTGATCAAACGTATTAATGTTGCATTTATTTAAAGTTTGGAACTTTATAAGGAAAGTCACATTATTGCTGTAAGGAATTTGAAACTAGTGTTCCTCAATATTTATTGAATCTTGTTGAGTAAGCACTTAATGAAGATACACTAGCTATCTCAATGTATATATCTCAAAGTTCCAAGTATACTCTATCACAATAAACATTGTATATTCAATGTGTTAAGTCAATATTAATATCTGGTCGTAGATATCGTGAGAGTAAAATACATTTAGTTAAGTCATTAGTTAAGTCAGCTAACTCATTGCCTTTTAGTGTTTAAATAAAATATTGTTAATGTTCTATTAAATATTAATCAGTCTAATAATGAATATGGTTTATCAACCATCAATTGAACCTAATCCTTATTCTCAAATAAGTTCAGGAAATGGGTTCAGAGAAAGATGAGTGATATAAAATACTTTTCTTCTATATCGAAGAATACTACTATATCATTTTCTCGAATACAATGATGTATAATAAGTTTTGTAATTGTAATAAAATATAATATTTCAAAAATTTAGATTGTAATTTCGTTATAATTGAGTTACACTGTAACTTTTTATTTACTAACACGACTAACCTGTGCTGCCATTACACGTTGACGTTCTGCAATTAGAGTGCATTTGGCGCAGACGCAATCTCGCCACCTGCAGTACCGCTTGTGTCCTTTCAATGCACTTACCTACAAAATAGAAAAAAAAAAAAAATTTTACTAAATAATATAAAAAAAATATTTTAGTTATTAAAACAATAGATGAGAAGATATGATTTCATATATAATATCTTCATACATATTGTATTAAAAATATGTGCATCACAGAGTTGAGAATATACATTAACATAAATTTCTATTAGTTTAACTTCTATTAGTTTAACTTCTATTAGTTTAACTTCTATTAGTATTAGACATACTAATAGACGAGGACCTGTGGTTGGCTTCTAGCATAACAATTTATGAACCCGATATGACTTTACTCCACTTAAAGATTGATTTATGTTAAATATTCGTAGAAAATTTTAGAAGATAGTTATAGGTATAATCAAAATTTCTTACAATAAAACTATTCTATCAAATATATACAGTTTCAGAACATTATGATTTATGGAACATCGCCTAATACTGCTCAAGGATACTACCTGAGTTACTGGAAATAACTATTCATCCGAAGATGCCTTAAGACTGTGAAAAATAATATTTGTACTACTGTTTATTGGAAAAGTTAAACTTAGGAAATTACTCTAAATTCATGAAGGGGGAACATTGAATTTAAAGGCCGCGGAGCTATATTCCTTCAAATAATACACACAACGATTGTGTTATCATTATTCCCAACTTCATGAAGTTATATATCAACAAATCAATTACTTTAAAGAAGTAGGGCCTCTGTGCTTGTATGGAATATTATTTTTTCGGAACTCGCGTAAAAAGACTGAATATGAAAGCATCATTGTTTTATCAAGTTTTGGATGACGAAGAGAAAAGTAAGCCTACACTGCTAAGTGCCGCTTCAACTTTTACAATTTCGGTATTTATCTTAGAATACTCTCGGCAGATAGGAAAACTTTTTCGATGTTAGAATCGGGATGTTTTTCAAAACAGAAAAAACAGGGGAAAGTCGCACTGTAAATGATAACATTCAAAGACATCTGAATTACTTTTATTTATCTCATATTTAAATTTAATTTAGATTTGATTTTGGTTTAAATTGAATTAATTTTTGCTAAGAAGTGATATAAAACTATTAGAAAGTCAAAAATTTGTATAAGTTACCGAGCGTTCCACGTACCGAGTGGAATAAAGGCATTGATTGGAACAAATACATATGATATTCTAGTTCAATATAAATTATTAGAATTTTCAATCCCTACTTTTTAATTTAAGGACTTAAAAGAGAATAAAGAAATCCTAAGCTATACATCTTTTTTATAAGATAATTAGTATTATCATATATAATACATATATTCTGAAAGCTTTGATTGTTAATATATAAAATAAAAATGATTGATATAAATTGTTGGATATTACAAGAAATTTTTTCTGTGATAAAAGTTATATTGTTTTACGAATCAATAGGAGGTGAACATTAAACTATATATTTCAATCAAACTAAAAACAACTTAAAGCCAATCGATATAGAGTCGAAAGTTTATGTAGCATTATTAGTCTGATGTGATCCTACAACAATAGATGTTTTTAGGAAAAAAATCTTTTGGTATCAAAACAAGGTTTTATATTCGTATGTACTATAATTGACTTATAAATTTATTCTTTTATTGGATGAAGACCTCCTTGACTACGTTCCGAACATTTCAAGTGTATATCCAAGGAGTATCTAACTGAACTTAGCAAATATTATATTTTATTGAAGTACGACAAATTAATATACGATTTATTGTGTACTCCGTAATACTTAGCCATGGTCCGGGTGGTTGCAATAAATTTCTTTATTGACTAGTTCGAAAGCTAGTAAAATGTAGTTTTAATATCGAACAGTAGGGAATATATAAAGGCAAAAAATACAGATAAGTAATTGGGAAAGATATAGCAATATACTCTATATGCAATTTGTTAATAATATGTTGACAGAAACTATCTTATGATATCTTCATCTTTATCACAACACAGATAAGATGTTTGAGCAATGATATTCATTCAGGTTACATTTGAACTAGCACTAGAAACATTGCTTGTATAATATTATCAAAATCCAAGTATATTCAAGAGAATATACTTATCTTAAAAAGTAAGATAAATTCTAAAAACCTACATAAAGTGAAGATTTGAAATAAGGGGATATCCATAAAGAGTAATTGTTTGGAAATAGAAAAAAGGTATATATTGACTACTTTATCATAATTTTTAAATGTGCTTGTACAAAAATGAGACGAATGTTCATCAGTAGATTTACTGGTTCCATAAGGGGTTCAGATACCTATGAAACTCAAATGAAATCTCAGTGTTTCAAAGAAGCTTTTCGTACACCACAATGGACTTCCCAATCAGTGCCATAAAAATTGGTTTTTTTGTAAATCAAGTTGAAAAATGAAAGCTGGGATGTCTCCGATCCTGTTGACTTTATGAGATAAGAACTAATCTAAGATGACTTTAGGCACTGCCAATGAATTTGAAACTGTAGCGAGAAAGCAGCAGCAGTAGGAGAGAGGGTAGTAAGGGAAGCGCCTACGTAGCAATGAAAAGAAAAAGAAGAAAGAAAAAGCTTCCGTTAACTATTTTCATATTAATTTGTTTCCTAACAATGCTATTCATATGCTATTCTAATCTATTGCTATTATAAATTTCTGATCTCGACTTGGGGATTACTTTTGGAAATGAATATTACTAAAGGTGGGAGAAAATCATCTTACCACTCCGTGGTTTCTGCAGCGTGCGCATTTTGGAGTGCGCTGATATCGTTCCGACGCGGCTCGTAGGAAAAAAGCTGGTGGTAAGGCACCTAAAACAGGGTGTTGCGACATTAAATTTTGCATATCAACGCCGCTGGGTAAACTCATAATTCCTTGAAAATCAATTTCGAATAATTATATCTTTCAGATATAATTTCCAATTTATATATATATGTATATTATTTTTTTATTTACACACTTGAGTTTCTTTTAATTGGAGACACAACTTGGAAACATGACACATTTAATAAAATAATAACGAGTATCGCAATTAAGTTAATCACAGTTTAAACTTTGTTCAAATAGTTTCACAATTATTGTCACTTTTCAAGTTAATAAATTTAATCAAAAAAGAAACACGTAATAAAATTTTATTTTTTTTTATCGAGTTTCGCGCAAGTCTTCTGAAAAATGTAGCAATTTCCAATTAATTAATTAAATTGAATGTTTCAATTTTTTTTTTAAAAAATTTAATTTTTAATTTGATTTAAACACGCCCGATGACGTCGTACCAGACTCAGTTCCACTTTGCAACTGTGTATGATTGAAAGTTGGTAGTACCGGATAAGCCCAGTCAACGAATACAATAACTACAAAACAGAAACAAATACACAAATACACAAATACAAAAACAAAAACAAAAACAAAAACACTGTAATACAGCGAAATACAGAAACAAGTGAGGGTTGAAAACTCACAGCACGTCATTTGGCCTAGTGAACAGCAGCCAGGCGTAGTACAGCAGTACAGCCGTACAGCGCAGTAGAACATAGCAAAACGAACCAAGGCAAGGCAAGGCAACGCAAGGCAAAGCAAGGCATGGTAAGGCAAGGCAAGGCAAAGTAAGGTAAGGCAAGGCAAACCAGAAGGCAAGCACTTCCTTCTGCTGTAAGCAGCGGCAATTGCAGTAGCAGAAACAACATCAACAACTGTGACAGAAACAACGACGTCGTTAGCAGGCGTCACACTATTCAAAAAGTTTCCAAATTCAATTTGGTACTGTATAAAATATGAAATTGTTCGCCCGGTGGAGTGGTTGATCGTGGCTTTCTTTCGTTTCGTTTACATTTACATTTACGTTTACGTTTACGCTTATGTTTTCAATTTCAATTTCATTCTCAACTTTATTTTGTTTTATTTGAGTTCATATACGTTTTAGTACTTTTTATATTTATTTCTTGTTACAGCTTTCTTCATCTCTTTTGTACCTTTTTTGTTCGTGCTCGCGCCCCGCGGTACTTTAGCAATATAACACATTTAATGTGTGTGGTAACCAACCAAAAACGTTTCTGCATCCATCTGCTTGCTGGTGCCAACAGTTGGCGTGGCGGTGGTTGCTTCTCTCGTTCACCAATACCAGACGCTTCAAAGCACTGACACTGTTAAAAGTTTTATTAATAAATCTTCAAACAACTGTGCACAGTGTAGCAAAATTGCAACAATGTGGTAACAATGTGGCCGTTTTGAAGAAGTCCATTGTATGCAGACAACCCACTTGTAGATCAATTAATTATTTTTAAATAATGATAAATGGAAATAATATTCAAACCATTATTCATTATTCAAATACAATATAGTTAAGTTATTAATTATCTGATTAATAATTAAACCACCTCTTGCAACTCTCTATACTCTGTAACGACACAATCTCTTTAGAATACATGCAGCTAATTCAGTCACTTTTTTTATTATTCACACCTTGGTCAAATAATAGGAAGAGACTTGATAGAACACATAATCTTAACGCTTCCATCTACAGTTTATCTAACAGTAAAGACTTTTTAAGGTATCAAAATATTCCATATGACATTCAACTTCTCATTGATATGAATCAAAATGTCCTGAAATCTTGGTCTTCTATCTAGACACATTGTTCATTTCATTACAGTAATCCTTTGCAAAGAATTTACTTATAAAGTTAATTATTTTCTCATTATTACTACTATTTGGTTTGGTGAAATTTATTATAAAAATTATAAGCTTTGTTCTTGATCTCACAAGAATGCTCTTGATTGCTGAGATGTGATTTTAACATTAAAACTATTTGAAACAACTGCAAAATTTTGAATTTTGTGCATTTCTAAGACATGGTTTTCAATACTTTTCATCTACTGAAAATACTATTCATTAAAAGTATTAAAGTCAAGCAGTTCTGTCTATAAGCTAAATTAATTTGCTTGAAGTCAAATAAAAATCTGTACAATGTGTAGATTAATTAAAGTTAGAAAAAGTTAGATAGCAGAGATCAAATGAGATAGCAGATCAAATAAAGGTATTTAAACAACATTAAACAATAATAGCGTACAAAAATATACTTTTCATAACACTTTTTACGTTTTCAATCCACTGTAGTTTTGTTAATAGCCTGTGTTAGTGGGCCAACATGTTGGTGGCATGTAGCATTGCACAAAAGAAATTTAACTGGTTTTCATACTTCACAGTGGAACAAACAAACTTCATTTAGTTAATATTAATATTGTAGCCAATGTTCATAAATTATATGTAACAATAACATCATATTATTATTTGAATAACTGATTTAGATTTAAAATACCAGAAAAAAAACTATGTAAATATATTTTCTGAGACTATAATATTATAACATATCATATGTCTTTATACAGTTTTTTTTGATTAAGTAGTTCAAAATAACGAATATAATAAAAATATGAATAATAATACAATAAAAGACTGACTATTTTCGAAACTTTTCAAATAACAGAGCATTGATTAGTGTAAATGTGTTTTAGTTCGTTGATTATACATTAATTCTTTATAAACTTGCAATATAATAATAAATATTTTTTCGCTAAAATATTTTTCTTTTATAATGCACCGATTTCTCCTAATCAGCTTTTGAAATGAGATACAAGAAAATGTTTGCAGAATAATAATCAATTAATTTCTTTCACGAAAATCGAAGAATAAAAATGTTTTCCGTAAAAATAAAAGAACACTTTAAAAAATATTGACTTCGAACCTTCATTACTTCTGAATTTAATTAAGTAAAAAGATATATCAGGTATTAAACCAACAGATATATAAATATGTGTAAAAGATTTGAGCTTTTGAGATAAACCGTTTTTGACGAATGTTATTTTTTATTGGATAGACTTTTCTTCTACACAATATATTTCGGTAAGTTTCGAAAATATATATTTAAATAAAAATAATAATAAAACATAAATTAATATTTTTAAAAATACAGAAAGCGAAACTCTATATAGGCAAAGTTCGACAATAGAATTGTTCAATCGTTCTTTATGATTATAGCCAAAATCATATATAACAAAAATATAAAATATATGTTTATATGAATTATAATATTGAAAAATTCTTTGCACAAATTTGCAATGTGTGATTTTTTAGAAAATTTTAAGCGAAAATTGCATTTGTTGTTCCACTGTAACTCATAAAATAAATATGTATATTCCTTGAACAAATTTTTTTTGTTAAATTTTATTACAAATAAAGTCGTACCTTGATTGACTGGGAACAATTTTACCTTCAGCGTGAAAGCTTATGGCATAGCAACATTATCCTAAAAATGGTTTCTACATAAAATAATATTTGAAGTTTATGTTATGTATTATAGCAATTGTATCAATTGATTATTTCATTAATAATACAATGTATTTATGTGACTTATTGTGTTTATTTTATTCATTATAGTGAAAAGCAGGAGAAGAGGTTGGATGCTCAAGTTAGTAATCAAATCTCACTTAAAATGGCGCAAGTCTTCACAGTTTGGCCGAACCAAAGTAGTTTTTATTTGGACAAGTCAGGCCAATGCTGTGTGATCACAAATTGCTCGCATTAGAACAATGGCAAAACGTGTAGAAATGCTGCTCACACAATGACAGAGCAACTGTCCTGCTTCTACTTGGCACATTTGTAACTGTTTCTCATGTTGAAGTAGACTGAACTGCAACTCTTAACACAATGTGGTACGTTGGGCAGAAACAGTTATGTACGTGAGGGTACTTGTCCGAATGATTTTAGTACAAGAATTCGTATTTACTTTGCTGAAGCACATAAAATGTATATTTATACATATTCACAAAAACAATGAAAAAAGATGAACATATAAAAGGTAGTTAATATATACTGTTTCATTTTGGTAGTTATATACTCATATTAGTTTATTATTCAAAAATAATTATCTTAGATAATGGCACTTAGGTAATGACTTGCTAAATTAATACTCCTTTTTGTATTAAAATCTTCATATGTTGTCAAATTTTTATTTATTAAACCGCTGTTTTAGGTGTACCGAAAAGATAACTTAATCACTTATCGGTTTATTATCTTTAGTTATTCTGTTCTGATCAGTGCGTGTGTTCAGTGTAGTTCAGTTTTTATAGGCAAGCTTGTAGTATTTAATTACACTTAAAACTGTGATGGCAGTGGAGACAGTCCACTCTAAAGCGGGTGATATTCGCAAATCTAGAAATTATTGCAAATTCATCAGAAACTTCTCTTCATAGTGTTTAAAAATATTTACATTTAAATGTATTTTATTTTCAATAATTATTTATTTTCAATTATTATAAAAATAAGTATATTTTGTATATAATATAGAATGTGTCATTGTTCATGTTACATGTGAATATCACATTACAATATCTATGTTATGTTATGTTCGACAACTGATAGTTTAAAAAAAAAACTGAACTTCTCTAATGAGAACAATTAGAGAATTTTGGTATCTGGTAGAAAGCTGACCTGTGATTGTAGCTACGAAAAATATATTTTTTTCTAAAATTTTAAGACCTCTGTGCTTATTGCGTTTAAAATAATATTCTTAAATTTTTAGTTTCACTTTATTTTTTATAATATTAAAATTAATTTTATTTCCAAATCTTCTTTTTGTTGTTGTTGTTATATGTGATTCGAAAAAATACCATGTTATATATTTGAAACATGATATCATGAAAAAAAATATAGCATATAAAAGCCATTTTTTATAACTACCGAAAAATAAGTTCGTTTATTTCGTTTCTTTATTATATATAAATTTAGAAATATAACGTATAAATGATGTTTTTTATATTAAAGGGGTCCAAAGAGTACAAATGCTTTATTTCGGATACATGCCTCCAAAGTCATAATTTCTTTAATATTTTCATATAACTTACAATAAAAATCCAAAATTATAATAGTCCAAAAAAATAAATAGCGATATAAATATATAAATAGAGATATAAATATATT